GATTAAGCTCATTCAACATGGACCATCGCTTGATTCATTCTTTTCAAACTTCATTTTTCACCAACTCTTACACCTTTACCTTCATTTTTCACGTCTTTCTTTTCGAGAGAAAGTCAGTACCCTCAACAAAAATGACGGAAATTTTTTGTTTTTTCTGCATTTTTGAGTCGCACGATAACAATGCACATAAATCATGCACATTGAGTTATGTCATGTCATCACATTGAGTTAAGTCAGCACACATGTGTCAATGCACATTGATTTGATTTAAACACATTGAGTCACACTATGATTCGAATAACACCAAGCCTTGATTCAAACCTCGAGATAACCCACCACAATGAGTCGAGTAACACCGAGCCTTGAGTCAACCTCAAGCCGACAAACCACAACAAGTCCAGTACACCAAGTCTTGGGACAATCCCCAGAAAACCACTAGCAATGTCCTTTTGCAGTATTTGATTTTAATTTACAGTATGCAACAATTCATCGAAGCTTGTGTTTGGAGTCAATCAAGCAATCTCACCAAATCATTGAAGCTCCTATTTGCAGCTAATCAAACAACTTCACCATCCGTCACCGATTATGTGGCACCTAATTGTTTGAAGCTCCTGTTTGCAGCCAATCGAACACTCTTACCATTCCTTTTTAAAACTCTTTTGTTCTGAGACGAGTGAAAATTCCTTAAGTAAGCTCTTATTAAGACACGCATGGACATTTCTTTAAAAGCTCTTTTGTTTAGTGACGAGTGGACATCGACAGCGCTCCCTAAGAATGTGGAGGTTGTCACCCGACTAGAGAAGACAACTCAAAGCAAATTGGTCTTTGATGGCGCTCCCTGAGAATTTGGAGGTTTTTAAACAAAACAACTTTTATTCAATAAGATGTCATCCAGAGACGTGTGCTCAGCAAACCCAGATACGTGTTTCTTTCCCCTTAACTCCTTTATTTGTTGAACTGACGCTTTCTGCAAATATCGGCGTTAAAAAGGATGAATTAGAATCGTAGAACGTTCTGAATCATTCTTCATCCCTATCGACTTACTTTGGCTAGCGTTTTCAAAACTTACATTTCTCCAAACTCAGTCAAAGTAGAGGCTTCTGTAGACACCTGATTGTGTCTCCCCTAAAACCAAACCTAGTGATGAGTACCTTTCACGTCTTTAATTAACGAGTTTGGTAACGAGTTGAAGAGTCTTGTGAAGTTCCCTTAAGCCTTGACCATACCCCTAACCTTTCTTAAAATGTTTTAATCCAAAATTATTCATTTCGTTCCTTTAAATCCAAAATTATTCATTTCGTGTCCTTTAAAATCATTCATTTCGTGTCCAATCCATAAAAATGTCCAAACCAGATTATTTTGGTCCATGATACCGGTCCAATTATAGTTTATTTAGATGAGACTTGAAAATATCTTTCCAACGATATATTATAAGCCCGAATCCAACTTAAAACGAATAAATTATGGCCATAATACTAAACCAAGCCTAGGTTCACCTTACCTCTGACCCAATGATCATGTGAGGGTCTAAATGTCATACTCCCAATCCTAAACCAATTAGGATGCATTAAAAACTTCTACAAGTCTCTAAAAGGTTTGAATCTATTGACAGGCTAAAGTCGTATTACCTAATCAAAAGTAATTCCTAAAACCACTAACTAAAATAGATAAGGAAGGAAAAACCCTAGAGAGAGAAAGCTTCGATTTGCTTCCATGGTGGTTTGATTTTGCTGGTTTCTTCCATTAAATCAGTTGCTATGGCTCGGAAAAAGAAGCAAGCTACCCCTGCTCCCTCTAAGATCACTAAAGAAATTACTGATTCCCTTTTTGTGCCTGCTCCAGCTGGTTTTCAAATCGTTCATGAAGTTTTTGATGAAGGTGATGAACTTGTTACTCCTGCACCTGATTTGGTTCATCCCTCTACAGGAATGATAACGAGAAGAGATGCAGAACTCTTAGTACTAAGCTTTAGATTAGTTTGCCCAAAATCCAATGGAACAGTGATTTCTCCGATTACTGTTCCATTGCCTAGCAGTCAAGCTGTAAAACCTGAAGCTAAAGAATCCTCAGCAACTCTAATTAATGATTCAATTGATGTTGAACAAGAAGCTGCTGAAGGTGTAGGTTTCAATGGTCAGCTGAATGCAAAAGGGGTTCCTCTGAATTTTGTTCCCTCGCAAATCAAGGATGGTAAGTCAATTGCTGTCTTATCTGCTAGTGAAATTCAGGAAGGAAGAAAAAAATGGAGCAATGTTGTTGTGTTATATGTTGTTGGTTACTACCCTACAATTGTTGCTATTAAACAATTTATTGCTAATGAGTGGGGAATTGGAAACAATCCTGAGGTATTCTGGCACGATGAGGGTATTTCATAATCAATCTTTGCTCGGCCGATAATTTGAATGCTGTATTAAGTGGAGGGCCATACATGTCGTTTGGAAAGCCTGTTATAGTGAAACCATGGACTGATAAATTTGATTTTAATGCTGAAATTTTGCGTACTGTTCCATTATGGATTAGGTTGCCTAATCTTCCCCTTAACTGTTGGGGCCCTGAAACATTGAGTAGAATTGGAAGCACTTTAGGGGTTCCAATTTGCGCTGATGAATGTACATCAAGGCAATTGAGGATTTCTTATGCCAGGTTACTAGTTGAAATTGATATCACTAAGCCTCTCCCTAATTCTGTCTGGGTTGAGAGTCCTAAAGGGGAACTAGTGGAGCTCACTGTGATCTATGACTAGACCCCTCCCTTTTGTAAAAAATGCAACAAGGCTGGCCATAACTGTGATGATTTTAAGACTACTCAGAGTCAATCTATTCCTAAAGCTCAACCTCAGAAGAAGGCTTGGGTTCAGAAAGTGAGACAAGGCCCTGAAAATCAGAATAAGGCTACTGGAGATTGGGAAACTGTGAAGAAGAGAAAAGGGAAGGGACCTGTTGTGGTTACTTCTATTGTCCTGACATCAAACAAGTTTGCAGATCTGCCTGAACATGACATAGCTGGCACTAGTAATTAGAACACAGAACCTAGCAAGGGTAGGCCCCCTCCACAGCCATGATTCTTACAGCATGGAATGTGAGGGGTCTAAATGACCCAAGTAAGGTGGTTGATGTTAAACATCTCCTTAGTAGAACTAATGCAGACTTAGTTTGTTTATTTGAGACTAGAGTGAAGCAAAAGAATAGCACAAAAATTCAGAACAAGATTGACTATGGTTTTACTTAGGTTTGTAACTATAATACTTCTGGAAAGGGTAGACTCTGGCTGGGTTGGAAGAGTAGCAGACTTCATGTTGAGGTGATTACTGTTCTTTCTCAGCTTATTCACTGCACTGTAAGTACTTATGATTATAGTAAACAAATTTTGGTTACTTTTCTGTATGGGTTGCATAATATTCATGATAGGAAGGATCTGTGGAATGGTCTAAGGAATATTAGTGTTGGTGCTATGCCCTGGTTATGTACAGGGGACTTTAACTCTGTGCTGCAGGATGGGGATAGATTAAATGGGAGTGAGATTACTGACTATGAAGTCAGGGATCTCAGATGCCTTGTTGAAGACTTGAATCTTATTGAAATAAAGAGTAAAGGGCCCTTTTATTCTTGGTCAAAAGCTCACAGTGGTCCTAGAACTCAACCTAGGATTGACAGGGGGTTTGTTAACTTGGAATGGCTTATCCATTTTCCTAATGTCGAAGCTGTTTATATTCCTCCCTCCCTGTCTGATCATACTCCTTTGTTGTATGAGATTCTCACTCCTCTACCTGGGAAGGGAAGACCTTTCAGGTTCTTGAATCATCTTACCACTCACCCTGATTTTCTGAACATTGTGCATGGTGTTTAGAGTTCAGGGATAACAGGTAATCCTATGAGTAGAGTTTGAAAGAAGCTGAAGACCTTGAAAGCTCCTCTAAAAGAGCTTAATTTCAGTTTCTTTAGCAATATTGATGAAAGAGTTAATTTAGCTCAGAGTTCTCTCCTGGGAATTCAGATGCAAATGGGTGCTCACCCTCACCAACCTGAGTTGGAGGCTCAAGAAGCTAGTGCTATTCAGCAGTTGAAATACTGGAGATCTGTTCAAGAGAGCATTTATAGACAGAAATCAAGAATTGACTGGGTTAGGCTTGGTGATGCTAATACTAAGTATTTTTCCTCCATGATGAAACACAGGCATTCTAGAAACAGAATTGATTCTTTGATGACTGATCAGCAGGTTCTGTTAAAGGCCCCTGATGATGTTGAGAGAGAAATTGTGAGCTTTTATAAGAGTCTAATGGGCTCTAGTTCTCCTTCTCTTGTTGCCATCGATTTGTTAACTATGAGATCTGGTAGGCAGCTTTCTGTGGAGTCTCAAAGTCTGCTCATTGCCCCTATTACTGTTTTTGAGATTGACTGTGCTATTAAAAGTATCTCTGATGAGAAAGCTCCAGGTATTGATGGTTATAACTCGAAATTTTTCAACTCTACTTGGGAGATTGTTAAATTGGATATTTATGAGGCTGTGTTTTGTTTCTTTGAGACTGGAATCATGAGCTCTCAGTGGAACTGTACTACCTTGACTCCAGTGCCTAAAGTTCAAACCCCAACTTATGCTAGTGACTTTAGGCCTATTGCTTGCTGTATAGTTCTCTATAAAATCATTTCAAAAATCATCACAGCTAGGCTTGCTCTTGTTATAGGGGAGGTTATTGATGAGGCTCAAGCTGGGTTTATCCCTGGGAAGCATATAGGGGATAACATTTTACTGGCTACTGAGCTTATAAAGGGGTATACTCATAAGTATATAACTCCTAGATGTATGATCAAGGTTGATTTGAAAAAAGCCTATGACTCCATTGAATGGAGTTTTCTTAGGGCTGTAATGGGTGAACTTGGCTTTCCTGCTGTGTTTATTGACTGGATTATGGGTTGTCTTACTTCTGTTTCTTTCTCTGTGTTGATAATGGCATCCCAAGTCCCCCTTTTATTGCTAAGAAAGGATTAAGGCAAGGAGACCCAATGTCCCCTTTTCTCTTTGCAATTGGAATGGAATATCTGTCTAGGTGTCTTTGTGAGCTTGGGAGGGTTCCTGATTTCAATTATCATCCTAGGTGTGAAAGGTTGGCTATTACTCATCTCATGTTTGCTGATGATCTCCTTATGTTCTCAAGGGCTGATAATTGTTCTGTCAAGCTTCTCTTTTGTGCTTTTCAGAAATTCTCTCAGGCTTCTGGGTTAGTTGCTAACCTTTCTAAGAGTGAGGTGTACTTTGGGGGGATCACTCAGGCAGAGCAAGATACCCTTCTAAGTGAGCTTGGCATGGCGACTGGTACTATCCCCTTTAAATATCTCGGGGTTCCTTTATCATCAAAGAAATTAACAATTCAGCAATGCAAGCCTCTTGTTAATAAGATCACTAGTAGAATTAAGAGTTGGGCTGTAAGATTTATTTCTTATGCTGGGAGACTCCAGTTGATTAAGAGTGTACTGTTTGGAATCCAAACTTACTGGGCTCAAATTTTTGTTTTGCCCAAAAAAATTATAAAGGAGATTGAAAGCAGGTTCAAGGCCTTCTTATGGACGGGGAAAGCCAATCCCACTAAGAGAGCTCTTGTGGCATGAAAGACCATCTGTCTGCCTAAGGCATGTGGGGGATGGAATGTAATTGATCTGCATCTTTGGAATGTTGCTGCAATTTGTAAGCTTTTATGGGATATCACTCATAAAGCTGATTCTTTATGGGTTAAATGGTTACATGTGTATTACTTCAGGGCCACTGATTTTTGGGCTGCTAGAACCCCTAAAAAATGTTCCTGGGTTTTGAGGAAAATTATGAAATGTAGAAGTTTGGTAGATAGTTTGGGAGGCTGGAGTACTTTGGTTACTAATAACAGGGTTCAAATCAAGAAGGTCTATGATAAACTGAGATCTCAGGCTACAAAGGTCCCTTGGAAGAGAGTTATATGTAACAACAGTGCTTCCCCTAGGAGTATCTTTGTTTTGTGGCTGGCAAACTGGAACAGATTACTCACTAAGAATAAAATTCTTCTCTAGAATCAGAATTGTGATCCTATTTGCTTTCTATGTTTGCAGGAGAATGAAAGTGTGCAGCACTTATTCTTTTTGTGTAGCTATTCAAGCAGGATCTGGTCAAAGGTGCTTCAATTGCTTAACTGTAGAAAACCAGTTCAAGGGTTCAATCAGGAACTTGACTGGGTTATGAAAAGGAGCAGAAGGACTGACTCTACCAGTAGGCTGGTTTTGATGTGTTTAGCAGAAGCTATATATTGTATCTGGCTTTAAAGGAACAATGTTCTTTTCAATGGGTGTTGTGAACCTGCTGATGCTGTGTTTAAACAAGTGGTGTACAAGGTGGCTTGCAGGTGTAAAGATGAAGATAGAAAGAGGCTATGCTGGGTGTAATCTGGGTTTTTGTGCCTTCCTACTCTAGTCCTTTTCTATTCCTAGATGGCCCTTTTAGCTCTATGTTCTGGTTTGGAGCTGGTTCATATTCCTGTTCTGGTTCAAGTCTGTTTTCTGGCAGCCTGTGTTTCTTTTCCTGAAGCCTGTTTTTTCAGTTTCTGCTTTCTGTGCTGCTTTTTGTATTTGGTGTTTTGTTTGAGGTGGTTTTGTCTGGCTTTGTCCCTATTCCCCTTGCACAGGGGTGCTTAAGGGCTAGGCTCAGATTGTTCTCGGTTCTAGTTATAACCCTTCCAAGAAGGTGGCTAATCTAGACCCTTGAACTGTTTTAGGTGTGGTTCGACCTTTGGGTATTGTGTAGTTTGGGTGTTCTTATTTGTACAACTTGCTCTTGTTAGTTGTATCTTCTGTTTTGATAATAAAATTTTATTTACCAAAAAAAAAAAAAAATAGATAAGGAATTATAGTCGAATCCACAGGGAAACAAGTCTTTCTATTCCTAATTAATTAATATAATCTAAATTATCACAAAACAAGTAAGAATTGTGAGAATTATACTACAGGCTATAATTAAACTAAGGGAATAGTCAATAATAAAAAGGCTAGGGTATAGGTTCACCAATAAATAATATTCCAGGGTAAAACACAATAATCAATTATCAATGCATCATTTGATCAGATCATAAAGAGCTTTCGCTACGTATTACAATCACAGAATTAATCTACCGGTATTAAATCGTATCTTTCGAATCTTGACTTAACCATTTATAAATTAACCTGCCTATTGAAACTAAGCCTAAACATCAATTCTCATCTCTCAAATGTCGAATCAATATTGCGTAACTCATACAATTAAACCAGCGCTAATCTAATTGCATAGTATTAAATTAATCTGTAGGAAATCAAACAAAGCATTAACAATCAACAATAATAAATTACCCGTTCATATTATTTATGGATCCCCACAACCCTAGAAAATAAACTACTCACACATATTTAAATCTAAACTAAGCAAAGCAAATAAAATAGACATAATTAATCAAAGCAATTAATTACTGAAAATAAGTGGGAAGAAATCGTTACCAAAATAAACGGAAATATTGAATTGCATAAACTAAAGTGTAGAGAAAGAAAGAACAAGAGTATTAACTAAAAGCCTAAAAACTAAAATCTAGAAATTAACTAATGAGGAGCGTCCAAGAGAGTCTAAACCTCCTTAACAAAAGCGTATTTATACCTAACTAGAAAACCTAAGCTAAAACGAAGATTAAAAGTAGCTAAACGATCTCAGAAACACGTGCCCGGTAGGGCGCCATCTCGCTCTGCCGGGCGCGCCTTCGGGCGAGAAGCAACTCTCTTCCTTCTTCCTCGCCCTGCTGGGCGCGCCTTCGGGCGAACTACCAGGTGAACTTGGACTTCTTCAATTGGGTCGTTTCTTAGCCTAATTCGCATTTCCTCTTTGGGTTCTGAATACATGGTCCATTGCCCCAGACTTTTCTTCTTCGCCGAGCCCTTAATTACCGATTTGATGACTAGAACCGGTCTTGGGCTTCGCAATGTGGTCATATGAATGCGACCTTACTCCAATGCTCGTAATGGCTCCAATTAATCTGGGAAAATGCTTCAAATCCGCAATTTCCTATAAAACAATACCAAATCTGCGAAAACACTAGAAAACACATATTAGTAACAAAAGTAGCTCCGTAAAGCTCAAATAAACACAATTATGACCATTGGGACGGGGAATAAATATATGTAAAATACAATTATCATCTATCCTTTCCAAAACGATAAAGATTAAAAGAATTCAAAGCCGAATAAAACTTCTTATATGATAGTCCTTATCCCGTCCAAATTGGAAGACGTGTGGATATATTTCATTAACCCAACTCTATTGGAAATCAAACTTTGTACGGCTAATTTATCTTTAGAAATCATCAAGACGACATAACCAACGCACCGCGTTAGCTCCATCGCGCCGCGATGGACGCTGGCGCGCCGCGATATGTCTTTCGCCTTGCCTTACAAGCTGTTCTATTCCAATTCAGATTCTGAGTTTTCTGATCACTTCGTCTCTATTTTTTCCTTACAAATAGAGGTCGTTTTCCACCGTTTCAGATCATCAACAACCATCATAAGTCTCCTCATAACAGAGTTTATAATACCCAGAATTCTTCAATTCCAATGTTCATAGCCTTAGCCTAAACACATCCTTGATATTCTCCCAAATCAGTCACAATACCTCATTCACGAGATTCGAATACTCCAACCCATCCTCGACGTTGCCTTCGACCTCGACGTGAAAGGTTGAAAGTTTGAGGGTTTCGTCCCAAATCTATATTTCAATTCATAGTTGCTTTATTTACTATTGATTTTAACTTTCTTGAAGTTTACTAAAGTGTGTATTGTTTTAATAGCAGGATGGTTGAGGCATCGAAGTAAGTAATTCAATTGCTTTTTTGATTTTGGAGAAGAAATCATGTTTAGGATGTTAATTTTATTCCTAAAATCATGTTTAGGTTAACGCTTTGATTTTGTTATTAGTGACATGCTAGGGTTTCTTATTAATCCGCTTAGTATCATGCCTATGATCTTACTATTAACGATGTTTTGATGTTGCTTTTATGATGATTGTTGTATTAATCATATGTTGCTTGATTATTCATGATTTCTTGCTATTGCTTGATCACTCCTCTTTTTGTAGGTTTAAAGGGAATTTGTAGCTGAAATAATGCCTAATAAGATAATTAATAATTGAATTTAGGTTTAATATGATTTTAATTCAAGTGATCCCCAATAATATATTTGATTGTGCATTAATAGTCAACCAGCGTAAATTAAATAGGATTATGGTTAATTTAATGTATGTTGATCGAAAAGCGTGCATGAATATCATAAAAATCGAGTAGAGGCCTATTTAGGGGGGTTCAATCTCTTTTAGGTTGGATTCGTACCATCATCCCCGAACATCCAGTCATGGTTTCGGACCATTATGGATTAGCGATCTCCGTGATCGTTAATGGGATATAACCTTCATACACATGAACGGTTTACAAGTTCATAAAACTTGTTGGCGGCTCTTTTTCTCTAGCTTCCTTTACATGGAACGCCGCCATGCCTAAAAACATGAACTACATTAGGGCTTAAGGAGAGTCGATAAAGTATCTACACCCTCACATCTTTGAGAGTTTGCAATCCTATTACTAAAGCTTCAAACTCTGTCCTGTTGTTAGTGCATTGAGCTGAGAAAGTGATCGCCATCTGTTGAGGTAAATATTGTTCTTTACAAACAAGTTAAATACTCTATCTTGTTCTAGAGTGTTAGGGGGCTTCCCCTTGAGTTACCAATTTCAAAGATTGATAACCTCGCTAACGTAAAACAAAACAATAAGGAAGCTTTCCCAAAAGAAGTAAAACAAGTTAGATTGCTCAAAGAAACGAGTAGATAAATATTTTTTTTTTAAAAAAAAGATACATATGCACTCTATTAATTAAGGGATAGATTCAGGTCTACAATTGTACAAGTTAAAGGAGAGGTTACCTCCATTTTCATACAATTAAAAAAGACAAATGATCTTCAATACATGTTACGTGATAAACTACACTATCGCTGGGCTACTAAGCCAAGGGAAACTACAAAACCTAAGAAGAAAGCTTAAAAGAAATTAAATACTTATTGCTGATTAATTTGCTGATGTCCTCTTTCGATCCTTGCACTTCTATTTATAGGCAAAATGAAGCGGTTATGGATGATTCTCATAACTGTTGTACAGTTATGGTTCTTGGAACCAACACTTCTCTGAAAATTAAAATCATTTATTAGCCTTATAATCCGACCTATATGTTATTTGGCCTCTATGTGATATCAGCCCAATTACTGTTGTGTTTTGACCAATTCAGCCCAAAGGCCTTTTTACTGACTCTAGAAAACTCTTAACTCGGTTTAAGTCAAGAAAGTTAAACAAAAAGTCAAAATTCTGATTTTTAGGTGTAACAAACACCCCCCTAATTTGGGTGGTTGATGGCATTTGAAACCAACCAAATTATGACTTTTCAAGAATAAAGATAAAGAATTATGTATGTCTAACTCTGTAAATATCAAACACATTTATAAAGATAAAATAATTACAAAATGAGAGCACTGCAAAACTTAAAAGTTTTGAATTGTGTATGCTCTTTCTAAGGACATAAGGCTAAATATATGTAGCGATATACGTATTAAGATGCCTTTTAATATCCTGGATCATCTTGAAGTGTCGCTACACAATTTTGTAGCCAGGATCATTGAGAAAATCCTCAAATTCATCATCGCTAGGCTCTGCAAGGAGCCTGTTAATTCTATGATGTTCAAAGATCTCCTCGTACCATAATTGGCAAGCACATTTGTACATTAGAGTGTGCATTTCCCCTTTTGTACCCCTAGTTTCCTTAACTTCATAGTACATTTTGGAGTAAGGAATAGTCCTTGCCTCCAATTTTCTATCGAACGTGGGAGGAAAGATCGCTCTGATCCCCTTTAACCAGACTTTGCAAACCAAAGCGGCATTCGCCCTGTCCTCTTTCTCCTTCAAGTGAGGAAGTATGAAATTCTTCAAAAGATCAGCGTTTGCACCCACATGGAAAACGCTAGGCCTAGCAGGTCCTTCTTTATCTTCAAAGATGGAAGGTATGTCCCCCATCGCTTCCTGATCCTCTTGTTGAGGCGATTTCTCTTTCAATTTTTGTAGTTCCTCCTCCATTTAGCGCTTCTATCCACGACTAAATTGTTATTTGGACACTCGTTTGGATACTCAATGGATCCATGGAGCGTTCTGTTGACATAGGACATGCCATCTCCATAAACATCCTCATTAGTCCCAATGTGTAGCATCTGAATGGGATTTATAAGATCCTCTATGGTAATTTCAAAATTCAAATTTTAGAAAGTGGTTGAATAACTTTGACAAATTGAATTTCATAAAGAGAGAAAGTAAGAGAGAGAAATAAAATTGGCTTAATGAAGA